TCAGGATCGAGGCAAAGATGATTGGAGCAAAGTACAGAGAGATCCTTGATGAAAACCTGCTCCATGGTGCTCAGGACCTCAGACTGGGGTGAAGGTTCACCTTCGAACAGTACAACGACCCTAAGCACACAGCCAAGACAACACAGGAGTGGCTTCAGGACAAGTCTCTGAATGTCCTTGAGTTGGCCCAGCCAGAGCCCGGACTTGAACCCGATCAAACATCTCTGGAGAGACCTGAAAAAAGCTGCGCAGCAATGCTCCCCATCCAACCTGACAGAGCTTGAGAGGATCTGCAGAGAAGAATGGGAGAAACTCCCCAAATACAGGTGTGCTAAGCTTGTAGCGTCATACCCAAGAAGACTTGAGGCTGTAATCGCTGCCAAAGGTGCTTCAACAAAGTACTGAGTAAAGGGTCTGAATACTTATGTAAATGTGACATTACATTTTTTAAAATCCTGTTTTTGCTTTGTCATTATGGGGTATTGTGTGTAGATTGATGAGGGAAAAAAAACGATTTAATCAATTTTAGAATAAGGCTTTAACCTAACAAAATGTGAAAAAAGTCAAGGGGTCTGAATACTTTCCGAAGGCATTGTATCACTGAATGACAGAAATATCTATTGAATCAGCTTTATGCTCCAACGGACAGTGTGTCAGTTTCTCAGGGCACAGCATCTCACTGATGAAACACTGACAACTCTGTCACAGCTGACATAAGATTGAAGAGGATCTCTCCAGATTGCACACACACACCAAGTAAACACACGCACACAGGCACGCACGCGCACACACACACACACACACACACAAATGCTGCTTCGCCCTCAAATGAACAAGCAAACAAGCAAAGCGTCAATACAGGACCAAGATCGAATCCTACTACACCGGCTCTGACACTCGTCGGATGTGGGAGGGCTGGCAAACTATGACGGATGACAAAGGGAAACCCAGCTGCGAGCTGCCCAGTGACACGAGCCTACCAGATTAACTAAGTACCTTCTATGCTCGCTTTTTGTTAAGCAACACTGCACCGTGCATGATAGCACCAGTTTGAAAGGCTGGTTATGGCTCACATCAACACCATCATCCCAGACACCCTGGACCCACTCCAATTCGCATACCGCCTCAACAGATCCACAGATTACACAATCTATATTGCACTCCACACTGCCCTTTCCCACCTGGACAAAAGGAACACCTACATGAGAATGCTGTTCATTGACTACAGATCAGCATTCAACACCATAGTACTCATCATTAAGCTAAGGACCCTGGGATTAAACACCTCCCTCTTCAACTGGATCCTGGATTTCCTGACGGGCCGCCCCCAGGTGGTGAGGGTAGGCAACAACCCATCCACCATGCTGACCCTCAACAAGGGGGCCCCTCAGGGGTGCGTGCTTAGTCTCCCCCCCCCCCGTACTCCCTGTTCACTCACGACTGCATGGCCGCGCATAACTCCAACACCATCATTAAGTTTGCAGACAGCACGATGGTGATATCCCTTATCATCGACAACGATGAGACAGCCTAAAGGGAGGATGTCAGAGACTGGGCAGTGTGGTGCCAGGACAACAACCTCTCCCTCAACGTCAGCAGGACAAAGGAGCTGATCGTGGACTACAGGAAACGGAGGGCCAAGCACAACCCCTTCACATCAATGGGGCTGTAGTGGAGTGGGTCGAGAGTTACAAGTTCCTCGGTGTCCACATCACTAAGGACCTATCACGGTTCAAACCTACCAACACAGTCATGAAGAGGGCACGACAACGGCTCTTCCTCCTCAGGAGGCTGAAAAGATTTTGACTGGCTGCATCACCGCTTGGTATGGCAACTGCTTGGCATCCGACCGCAAGGTGCTACAAAGGATAATGCGTACGGCCCAGTACATCACTGGGACCGAGCTCCCTGCCATCCAGGACCTCTATACAGGCAGTGTCAGACGAAGGCCCTCACATTTTTTAAAAACTCCAGCCACCCAAGTCTTAGACTGTTATCTCTGCTACCCCTTGGCAAGCGGTAATGGAGCGACCAGTCTGGGACCAAAAGGCTCCTGAACAGTGTCTATCCCCAAGCCATAAGTCTGCTGAACAGTCAATCAAATGGCTTCCCGGATTATTTACATTGATCCCTTTTTTATATTTTACGCTGACATTCTGGCTCTATGCACACTCACTAGACTCTACCCACTACACTGACACTCCAACATGTCGGAGTTCTAATATCCCACGGCAAACACAACCACAGGGACATGCCAAAGTACAATCAAAGGATCTTTATTACACTTTCAGCTTTTACAGCAATGACAATACAACGTATCACTACGGCCCGATTAGAAACTTATAAAATTGCTAGGATTTAGGGCTATAGGCTAACTATGAGCACTGGGGCAAACTAACACAGTAGTTGATTCACTTAATGAGCAGTGGCCAATGTTTGTTCGTTCGGTTCTTTCCGAGCAATGTTCGTTCGGCTCTTCTTCCCGAGCAGGGTTCATTCGTTCGGCTCTACCCTAGCAGGGGTCGTTTGTTTGGTTCTACCCTAGCAGGGGTCGGCTCTTCTTCCCGAGCAGGGGTCGTTAGTCAATGGCTGGTCCGGTCGTCGATGGCTGGTTCGGTTGTCAATGGCAGGTTGCCGACTGTCCCTAGTTCCCTACCAGCCCAGCTACGTGGTAGCGTTGGGTGTAGACTCTGGCAGCTGCGTCGGGCTCGTCCGGCAGCACAAGGTCCGTTGGTGGAGAGGTCCCCGGTCCCCATCCCCCTGAAGGTAAGAACTATAGTTCTGGGGCGTGTTTAGCGATTCGTTTGGGGAGGGAGGAGGTGATAGGGAATTGGCAACAGCTGTCTCAAGTCAATGTAGTCCATTCCAATCGGGGAGATCACAGCACACCATGCAAGGAAACAAATAGTTCATGCAATTCAATTTCACACGTGAGAATGTCAGAAATGAAGTAAAAGGTAATCGTTGTAAACACAAAGCACACGTGATTAAAAGGCACTCAATGTAAAATAATAAGACCAGATACGTAATATAAAAGTAATGGCTGTCTCTAGTTTAGTAAGAGTCAGTTGTGAGACACACACACACACTACATACACACACACTACATACACACACACTACATACACACACATACACACACTACATACACACACACACTACATACACACACATACACACACTACATACACACACACTACATACACACACATACACACACACTACATACACACACACTACATACACACACATACACACACTACATACACACACACACTACATACACACACACACTACATACACACACACACACATGAATATTGACGCCACACACACTCACACAGAGACACACTTTCACACTCTTCACACAAGCTGCTGCTACTCTGTTTATTATCTATCCTGATTGCCTAGTCACCTACATGTACATATTACCTTCAATTATCTCAACTATTTCGTACCCCAGCACATTGACTCGGTACCGGTACTTCTTGTATATAGCCTCGTTATTGTTATTTTATTGCGTTATTATAATTTGTTATTATCATATTTGTAACTTTTTCGTACTTTTTAAATCAGCATTGTTGGGAAAGGGCTCGCAAGTAAGCATTTCACGGTAAACCCTGTTGTATTCGGTGCATGTGACAAATACAATTTGATTTGATTTTGACGCACGCACATACACACAGACAGAACATTTCCATCCCAAAAGACCATGGGAAGCATTTCATGCTCCAAAACAAACACAAACTGACACAGCAGGGCATCTCCATGAGCGGGTCAACTCTGAGGACAGAGACTGATGCCCGGTTGGGAACACAAGCTTCCTTCCTCCCTACCTTGAAGTAATCACTGATCTAACACAAATAGATAGGTGTAAGCAGCGGTTCTATCACATAGTTTTCACCGATCCAACTATATCAGATAAGGGATTTCTTCAGGGAAGGTAGGAAGGAAGAATGGAAGGGAGGAAGGAAGGATGCAAGGGAGGAAGGAAGTATTTGAAAAGGGCCTGAATTGCACACCCTTTAACACATAGTTGAGGACCCCTAGTTACCAGAGAGAGAATAAAGATCACTGGGAAGTGAGAAGGTTGACAGGGTCTGTCACAGCCAGGGCTGGACCTCGACAACCCCTCCTTCACCTCACACACACAGACACACACACACACACACAGACACACACACACACACACACAGACACACACACACACACACACACACACACACACACACACACACACACACACACACACACACACAGACACAAACACAGACACACACACACACACACACACACCCACACACAAACACACAAACACACACACACACACACAAACACACACACACACACACACACACACACACACACACACAACACACACACACACACACACACACACACACACACACACAACACACACACACACACACACACACACAGACACTGGGACATGAGAAGGGTAGCAGCTCCTCCACCTCCTCCGGAGTCTGGAGTCATCCAGCAGCTATTTGCCATTTCCCCCTCACAGTTATAAATACATCTAATTAGTTCTGTTTGGGGTTGTGTCCCTAATGGCACCCTATTCCCTATATAGTGCACTACTTCTGACCAGAGACCTGTTGACTAGCACACTAAAGTAGTGTGAGGTAGCAGCTCTGTCTCCTAGGTTGCACTCATCACCTCACCCTCACATTCCCCTCTCATAAGATAACTGTTAGTGCTTATGAAGTGCTAAAACAGACAGACAGGGTATATAAAGAACCCCAGAGACATCTCTGTCTTCGCTGCACAGTGCTTCTCCTCTCCTCCTTTACTGTTAGTGTTAATACTCCTGCGACTCCTTCTCCTGCGAACTGAGAACTATCCGGAAATAAGGAGTGACCCGGGAGACCCAAAGGAACTGAAGACCATTTCCTATTTTTAGATTTTCCCCGTCTTCCCTTTTCCCTTGTTTCTCTCTCTCTCTCCAACTCTTTGATCCTGTGACATTTCTCTGAACCATGACCGAGCAGACCAAAGCAGCGGCCCCATCGGCACCAGGGGCCCAATCACGTCCTCACTACTCCAGGGACTTCTTCTGGTCCCCCCTGTGGAGCTGGTGGCAGCAGCCCACCCCCAGTAGCCTCCTTCCCAACCAGGACTTCGGCCTGCCACCTTTCCTGGAGGCCGGAGACCTCCGTGACCTGGCAGCCAGCTCCTGGTACGTTCCCTCTCTGCCCCTCTTGGTGCCCTCCTTTCCGGCCCCGGCATCCTCCATGCACCAGCCGGCCCCCAGGCTGAGCAGGGTAGAGTCTGCAGGGTTGAAGGGGCTGTCGGAGGTCCGGGTGGAGGGGCACAAGTGGAGGATCACCCTGGATGTCAGTCACTTCTCCCCTGCAGAGATCACTCTCAGGACCCGCAGTGGCTTCCTGGAGATCGGAGGTAGGCCTACCTGTACTGAAACTATATTGAAATGTTCCTGTAATGTCATAGAGTAGATACTGGGCCTATTTAACCTCTTAAGGATCTGACCCTTTTTTCAAATTTTCGCCTAAAATGACAAAACCCAAATCTAACTGCCTGTAGCTCAGGACCTAAAGCAAGGATATACATATTCTTGATAGCATTTGAAAGAAAACACTTAGAAGTTTGTGGGAATGTGAAATGAATGTAGGAGAATATAACACATTAGATCTGGTAAAAGTTAATATAAACAAAAAAACATGTGTTTTCTATTATCTTTTTTGTTCCATCATCTTTGAAATGCAAGAGAAAGGCCACAATATAATACTGCAGTTTAGGTGCAATTTGGATTTTGGGCACTAGATGGCAGCAGTGTGTGTGCAAAGTTTCAGATTGATCCAGTGAAGCATTGCAATACTGGACTATTTTGTATCAAGTCTGCCCAAATGTGCCGAATTGATCAATTGATACATTTTCAAGTACATAACTATAGAGAACATACATAAATAATATGGTAATACGAAATGTAAGTTTACACACTCCCAGGAATGTCATACATGATGGATAATTAGCTTATACACTATCTATTTTTTCACTGTAATAGCTACTGTAAATTGGACAGTGAAGTTAGATTAACAAGAATGTAAGCTTTCTGCCCATATAAGACATGTCTATGTCCTGGAAAGTTTGGTGTCACTTACAACAGTCATGCTAATCACATTAGCACACGTTAGCTCAACCGTCCCGTATACGGGACACCGATCCCATAGAGGTTAAACTGAAATGCCCCAGTTATGTTATAGCGCCATAGATACACAATCAATTGAAACTAAAATGTTGCTGTGTTGTATCAATCAATCAATCAATCAAATTGATTTATAAAGACCTTTTTACATCAGCAGATGTCACAAAGTGCTTTACAGATACCCAGCCTAAAACCCCAGAGAGCAAGCAATGCAGATGCAGAAGCACAGTGGCTAGGAAAAACTCACTAGAAGGCTGGAACCTAGGAAGAAACCTAGAGAGGAATCAGGCTCCGAGGGGTGGCCAGTCCGCTTCTGGCTGTGCCAGGTTGGAGATTGCAAGAGTACATGGCCATTAAGGCCAGATCGTTCTTCAAGATGTTCAAACGATCAAGACGTTCAAACGTTGTAACATATGTAGAAGTTATCCTGCAGCTATGGTTGAGTTATTATAGCGCCAATTTCATTAAAATGCTCGTTGTGTTATAGCACAAATAGTGTACTGATATGCTTCAGCATTGTAAAGATGCATGAAGTGGCCTCTCTCTATACAATCAAATCATAAACAGTCTGGCTTTAAGTCTGGATGCCCATAGGACAGAGTCTGAGTGAGTTAGTGGAATAACAACCTCAGGGAAATGAAGAGAGCAGGGTTGTGGTGGCATACAGCAATACAAATCTCTGTGATGCAGTCTGGGGTGTATTTACTAGCAACCAAACAGAACCAAATGGAAACAAACGGAACCAAACGGGAAGGGACCTACCTGAATTTGTCCAATAGAAACTATTTTTTTCGTTGCAAAACGTTTTCCGTTTCTGAGTAAACGGTTTCCGTTGCAAAATGTTATAGACTAATGAATACAGCTCTGCTGTCTCAGTGTTACCTAGCTCTACTGTGGGTCTCCATTTTATTATTCATGTTTCTAATGTAACTGATATTTCATCCTCAGGGACACATGAAGAGAGACCAGATGAGCATGGTTTTATTGCTAGATGCTTCACCAGGAGATACATGTAAGTTTCCAAGCTGATCGATATTCAACACAGTGTGTGAGTCATAGTTTGAGAAATGTATTTAAGCTTCAACAGTTGATGTTATAGAATCTAATGTGGCAAGGATAAATGTTTTGAGTACTCAATTTACTCTCGTTTACACCAACATGTAGCAACATAAATGTTTATGACAACTGTATGTTAACAGTATGAATACCGTATTCATCAGCATTATGAACTATGAATATTATAAACGCAACACAACTGTTTTGTATAGCTCATGATACTATGTTGTATTAATGTCAAAGTGTGTTGTGCTGTGCTGACCCAGGCTCCCAATAGGTATTGCTTCTAAGACCATAAGATCCTCTCTGTCTGGTGATGGCATTTTGACTGTAGAGGCTTCACTTCCTGACCCCAGCATCCCTGACGACATCATCATTCCCATTCAGGTAACAAAGGGCGAAACCCCAAACACCTCAACTGTACGTAGTACTCATTGTCTGTTTTGGTCACTTGCTGGCCTTGGACACTTTAAATAAAGGACAGAATAGGAAGTAGGAAGCATTAGTATTTCCTTGTTTTCCTAGTAATCCGTCCATGTCAATGTCCTGTCCTGTTTATTATTTTCTGTTATGTACATTAGAAGGACAAAGTTCGAACACAAATAACCACATGACCCTTAATCATAATCTGTATGCTTACTGTATTTCCTTTATTCCTGCTTGTCTATCTATGTAGGTGGAGAAGGAGACCATAAAAGAAGAGGGAGAGGAGGGTGGTGCCAAGCCAGAGGAGACTACCGTAGCTGACACAGACTCCCAGCCTTCTCCATCTGTCCCTGCTGTGCCCCCTGTATCCCTGGAGACCCCTGACTTCACCCCCACAGAGCCTGGCACAATGCCCCCCACAGAGGCACCTGAGGATGGGGACAAGTTAGCACGGGAGGTCCCTGGAGAAAAGGCTCACCCAGACGGCGCCACGGCTGGGACAAAGAGGCACGAGGAAAAGAGAGGAGGAGCAGAGGAGGGGGAGACACTGGTGAAGCCAGATGGAGAGGGAAGAGAGGGAGAGGTGTTTCCAGATCCCACAGAGCCCTTTGAGCACCTTGACACCCCTGACTCCCCAGACACAGTCACGTCCGACCACGGGGAACAGAAAACAGACCCAGCCCAAGACCATGACCAAGAGCTCCATCACCCGGAGGGCTCAGGAGAGGCAGCCGAGGACCTGGCCCAGCCTGAGGAGCCTGAGCCGGGGACGAGTCCATCAGTGGAGGGGGCCCACCACTCCAAGGAGCTGGAAGTTCCAGAGCACCCTGATATGGAGCAACAGGCGTACACCAAGTAGACAGAGCGAGAGAGAGCGAGAGAGAGAGAAACAGAGAGAGAGAGAAACAGAGAGAAACAGAGAGAGAGAGAGAGAGAGAGAGAGAGAGAGAGAGAGAGAGAGAGAGAGAGAGAGAGAGAGAGAGAGAGAGAGAGAGAGAGAGAGAGAAGAGAGAGAGAGAGAGAGAGAGAGAGAGAGAGAGAGAGAGAGAGAGAGAGAGAGAGAGAGAGAGAGAGAGAGAGACATGGCCGTCATTTCATAAAGAATTTGCTGAGAATCAAAACATCCATCCCAAGAGCCTACTTTCTGCAGACTTCCTCTTCATGACTAGCCTGGTCCCAGATCTGTTTGTTCTGCCAATTGCAGACAATGACCGTAGGAGTTGGCAAGACAGCACAAACAGATCTGGGACCAGATCTACTTCACCAGATAGCAGCTAAAGCTTGCATAGTAACCCTGATTCTATCAATGTGCGTGTGAGTGAAGAACCACGTACTATCACTGTGACCATGCACCGTTTGGAGCGCCAATAAACCAAAGGCAAATGAAAAAGCTAATGCTTTGTCCTGCTGTCGTTAATATTGTCACAATCATTTACATTTACATTTGAGTCATTTAGCATACACTCTTTTCCAGAGCAACTTACAATCAACATTCCATCTGTTTTGGTATTCCTTGTGTGATCATATTGACACAGCCACCTCAAAATAACCTTTTCTGGATGATTATCACATGCATACAGTTACCGTTTAGATTATGAAGATTCATTAATTATAATGCCTTTAAAGGATTAGACACACGTCATACAGCATGTTTGCACAGCTGGGTTTAACAGTACATGTGTCCGTTCAGGATGAGCAACTTGGCCAAGGAGACAACCATGGTTTTGATCATAGCTACAATACAACATCCCAACGGAGACGTTTTAGCTCCACTCAGTAAAATAGGACGATCAAACATATTTGTTGACAGAATCGGAAGTAATCCTAGCGATAACCAGAAGCCCATTCTCAATACATCCCCAACATTCGAATTCTAATACTGTGCCTTCAAAACACCTTAATCTGAAGACAACACCATTTTGTATGACACAGCAAGCAATATAATCCTCCAATTGTTCAACCTGTAGTGAAATAACTAATCTAGGAATGCCCTCTTGTTGCCCTCACCCTTGAGGGACAAGTGGCAGAGCCAAGCTTCCCTGGCTGCATCCCAAATGTAACCCTATTCACTTTATAGTGCACTACTTTTGACCAGAGCCCTATGGACCATTCGTGGTGCACTACAAAGAGCATAGGGTGCCATTTGAAACACGCACCTACTCTAATACAGTGCATTTGGAAACTATTCAGACCCCTTGACTTTTTCCAAATGTTGTTATGTTACAGCCTTATTCTAAAATGGATTAAATAAAGAAAAATCCTCATCAATCTATACACAATACCCCATAATGACAAAGGGAAAACAGGTTTTTAGAAATGTTTGCAAATGTATTCAAAATAAAAAACATAAATACCTTATGTACGTATTCAGACCCTTTGCTATTAGACCTGACACCATCCCTACAGTGAATCATGGTGGTGGCAGCCTCATGTGGGGATGTTTTTCACCAGCAGGGACTGGGAGACTAGTCAGGATCGAGGGAAAGACGAACAGAGCAAAGTACAGAGAGATCCTCAATGAAAACCTGCTCCAGAGCAGTCAGGACCTCAGACTGGGGTGAAGGTTCACCTTCCAACAGGACAATGACCCTAAGCACACAGCCAAGACAACGCAGGAGTGGCTTTGGAACAAGTCTCTGAATGTCCTTGAGTGGCCCAGCCAGAACCCGGACTTGAACCCGATCGAACATCTCTGGAGAGACCTGAAAATAGCTGTGCAGCGACGCTCCCCATCCAACCTGACAGAGCTTGAGAGGATCTGCAGAGAAGAATGGGAGAAACTCCTCAAATACGTGTGCCAAGCTTGTAGCGTCATACCCAAGAAGACTCGAGGCTGTAATTGCTGTCAAAGGTGCTTCAACAAAGTAGTGAGTAAAGGGTCTGAATACTTATGTAAATGTGACATTCCAGTTCATCTCAAGGATGATCAATGGAAACAGGATGCACCTGAGCTCAATTTCGAGTATTTCTGTTTTGTTTATAAATTTGCTAAAAATTCTAAAAACCTGTTTTTGCTTTGTCATTATTGGGTATTGTGTGTAGATTGAGGAGGGGGGAAAAACAATTTAATCCATTTTAGAACAAGGCTGTAATGTAACAAAATGTGGAAAAAGTAAAGGGGTCTGAATACTTTCCAAATGCACTGTTATGTTACCCAATTACTGTTGTTTGGCACTGTCTGGCAGACATCTTGGATTCTGGCCCATACTGTACATGGCACAAGTCCACAGAACAAAACACACAGATTTGAACACACACTGGGATTGATGGGAGGTTTTATTGCATTAACAAATACAAAGATGTCAAGGAGAGGAGGAAAGAGAGGGAGGAGGAGAGGAGTAGAGGAGGGATGGGAGGGCAGAGGGAGAAGAGGAGGAGAGGAGGAGAGGAGAGGAGTATGTGGGGCGGCAGGTAGCTTAGTGGTTAAGAGCGTTTTGCCAGTAACCGAAAGGTCGCTGGTTCTAATCCCCGGGCCGACTAGGTGAAAAATATGTCGATGTGCCTTTGAGCAACGCACTTAACCCTAACTGCTCCTGTAAGTCGCTCTGGATAAGAGCGTCTGCTAAATGACTAAAATGTAAAATGAGTAGAGGAGGGATGGGAGGGGAGATGGAGGAGAGGAGGAGAGGAGGTAGGGATGGGAGAAGTCATTCTCTTTGCACCAAGGGGGCCCACCACTCCAAGGAGCTGGAAGTTCCAGAGCACCCTGATATGGAGCAACAGGCGTACACCAAGTAGACAGAGAGAGAGAGAGCGAGAGAGAGAGAAACAGAGAGAGAGAGAGAGAGAGAGAGAGAGAGAGAGAGAGAGAGAGAAACAGAGCGAGAGAGAGAGAGACATGGCCGTCATTTCATAAAGAATTTGCTGAGAATCAAAACATCCATCCCAAGAGCCTACTTTCTGCAGACTTCCTCTTCATGACTAGCCTGGTCCCAGATCTGTTTGTTCTGCCAATTGCAGACAATGACCGTAGGAGTTGGAAAGACAGCACCAACAGATCTGGGACCAGATCTACTTCACCAGCCAGCAGCTAAAGCTTGCATAGTAACCCTGATTCTATCAATGTGCGTGTGAGTGAAGAACCACGTACTATCACTGTGACCATGCACCGTTTGGAGCTCCAATAAACCAAAGGCAAATGAAAAAGCTAATGCTTTGTCCTGCTGTCGTTAATATTGTCACAATCATTTACATTTACATTTGAGTCATTTAGCATACACTCTTTTCCAGAGCAACTTACAATCAACATTCCATCTGTTTTGGTATTCCTTGTGTGATCATATTGACACAGCCACCTCAAAATAACCTTTTCTGGATGATTATCACATGCATACAGTTACCGTTTAGATTATGAAGATTCATTAATTATAATGCCTTTAAAGGATTAGACACACGTCATACAGCATGTTTGCACAGCTGGGTTTAACAGTACATGTGTCCGTTCAGGATGAGCAACTTGGCCAAGGAGACAACCATGGTTTTGATCATAGCTACAATACAACATCCCAACGGAGACGTTTTAGCTCCACTCAGTAAAATAGGACGATCAAACATATTTGTTGACAGAATCTGAATTAATCCTAGCGATAACCAGAAGCCCATTCTCAATACATCCCCAACATTCGAATTCTAATACTGTGCCTTCAAAACACCTTAATCTGAAGACAACACCATTTTGTATGACACAGCAAGCAATATAATCCTCCAATTGTTCAACCTGTAGTGAAATAACGAATCTAGTAATGCCCTCTTGTTGCCCTCACCCTTGAGGGACAAGTGGCAGAGCCAAGCTTCCCTGGCTGCATCCCAAATGTAACCCTATTCACTTTATAGTGCACTACTTTTGACCAGAGCCCTATGGACCATTCGTGGTGCACTACAGAGAGCATAGGGTGCCATTTGAAACACGCACCTACTCTAATACAGTGCATTTGGAAACTGTTCAGACCCCTTGACTTTTTCCAAATGTTGTTATGTTACAGCCTTATTCTAAAATGGATTAAATAAAGAAAAATCCTCATCAATCTACACACAATACCCCATAATGACAAAGGGAAAACAGGTTTTTAGAAATGTTTGCAAATGTATTCAAAATAAAAAACATAAATACCTTATTTACATAAGTATTCAGACCCTTTGCTATTAGACTCAAAATTGAGCTCAGGTGCATCATGTTTCCATTGATCATCCTTGAGATGTTTCTACAACTTGATTGGAGTCCACCTGTGGTAAATTCAATTGACTGGACATGATTTGGAAAGGCACACACCTATATAAGGTCCCACAGTTGACAGTTCATGTCAGAGCAAAAACCATGCCATGAGGTCAAAGGAATTGTCCGTAGAGCTCCGAGACAGGATTGTGGCGAGGCACAGATCTGGGGAAGGGTACCAAAACATTTCTACAGCATTGAAGGTCCCCAAGAACACAGTGGCCTCCATCATTCTTAAATGGAAGAAGTTTGGAACCACCAAGACTCTTCCTAGAGCTGGCCACCTGGCCAAACTGAGCAATCGGGGGAGAAGGGCCTTGGTCAGGGAGGTGAATAAGAACCTGATGGTCACTCTGTGGTGATGGAAGAACCTTCCAAGGACAACCATCTCTGCAGCACTCCACCAATCAGGCCTTTATGGTAGTGGCCAGACGGATGCCACTCCTCAGTAAAAGGCACATGACAGCCCGCTCTGCATTTGCCAAAAGGCACATAAAGGACTCTCAGACCATGAGAAAGAAGATTCTCTGGTCTGATAAAACCAAGATTGAACTCTTTGGCCTGAACACCAAGCCTCTCGTCTGGAGGAAACCTGGCACCATCCCTACAGTGAATCATGGTGGTGGCAGCATCATGTGGGGATGTTT